GGGCGGGGCGTTACCTCCGCCAGCGTGGTGTGCAGGCCGCACTGCCAGCCGGGAGCAGCGTCTAAACCTCGCGTACTGTCGTCTCCAAGCGCCCGACCCGCCGACGCTCAGCGGCACTGAGTGCTATGCCTGCCTGGGGGTCCACCCAGAAGACTGTGCCCCCGAGAGGTCCAGGCGGGTGCAGTGCCACCAGGGCCAGAGTGCCTGTTTCCAAGGCAACGGCAAGATGACCATCGGTAAAGGGCTGCGATGGGGGCATGGCCTCGGGCGGGGTCATGGAGGCCTGCGGCGGAGGCTGCGGAGAGGCACGGTTCCCTGTGGCCTGGGTGGGAGGGAGCCGGAAGCTGAGCTGTCGCGGAGGCCTGACCGCCTTCCCCTCCCCCAGGCAACTTCTCGGTGCCCGTGTACATCCGCACGTGCCACCGGCCCTCCTGCACCACCATGGGCACCACCAGCCCCTGGACGTCCATCGACCTGCGCGGCCACTGCTGCCAAGGCCACCTCTGCAACCGGGACTCGGTGACACGGACCCTCCCCGGCGCCACGTCCACCGCCCCTCCCCAGGCTCCCCGGGCCCTGCCGCTCGCTGCTCTGGGGCTGGCCGTCGCTCTGGGGGTGTCCCTGGGGCTCCCGGCATAGACTGCGCCTCTGGGATCGCTCCTGTTCTCGCTGCTCTGGCCCCTGATGTGGGCTCCCTAAAAAATGACAGGAAAGTAAGAACCCCCTGGCCACAGCCCCCCCCATTGCTTCTCACTGTCCCCCAAGAGCCAGCTTCCAACGCCACCCCATGGCCCAGCGCCTTCAGGACATGAGCCTTTTGTGACCCCGCGGCCAAACCTTGCCACTCACTCTAAAACCCCACTTCTCACAAGAGTGATGGTGATCCCAGCCTGTCATTCCAGCGCCCAGGCTGCTGAGGCAGGAGGGTCACTGCAAGGCCTTCACAAGTTCAGGTCCAGTGAGACCCTGTCAAGCATGGCAGCTCAGTCCTTTAATCTCATCACTGCAGAAGCAGGAGAGTCTCTGAGTTCGAGGCTAGCCTGGTCTACAGAGTGAGTTCCAGGACAGCCAGGGCTACACAGAGAGACTTTGTTTCAAAAGGAAGAAAGGAGAGAGAGAAAGATCAAAAACTCTGTTTTCTTTTTCCTTTTAGTATCTCTCTAAAGCAGAATTGACATCCTTCCAGCAGCCCCGCTCTTGGGTCTATTACCCCAACAGAAATTGGCTCATGTGTCCCCCAAACTATGCAGAATAGCAGGACAGATAACAGCCACAGCTGGAAACAGCGGAATGACAGGCGTGGTCAGGCACACAGTGGCGTGAAAGCGGCAGCTGAGTGTCACCTGCCATGCTGGGAGACTCTCACAAAAACAGTAACACTTGCACTCCTGCAGGCTACATGGTTTCAAGGTCTAGAGCAGAGAGAGTGCTTATCTCTGGGGCCGAGTGGCCAGAATGTGGGTGTTTGGGGGTCTAGGAACACACCGACCCAATTTTGCTTTTCTGTATTCACTAAACTTTTTGTTGTTTTCTTTTGTTTTGAGAGAAAAGGTCTCATGTAGCCCAGGCTAGCCGCAAGCTCTCTCTGTAACCTAGGATGACCGTGAACTCCTGACCCTCCCGCCTCAACGTGCCAGACACTGGGATCACAGGTGTGGCCATCGGGCCTGTCTTTTCTCTTCTTTCCTCCTGTGTATTGTTTGCAATAAAAGGCTTAAAATGTACAAACGTTCTTGATGGGAAACGGGCAGGTGGAGGGGAATGCAGGGGACAATGACACCAACCCAGCTCCTAAGATTATCTGTCGGGTGCAAGCAACGGAGCAGGGGCAAGAGTTGGAGTTCTGCCTCCTCGCCGGCGCCTGCATTTTAGACGGAACATTAAATGGCCAGTATTGAGCCAGATGAGGCCTCTGAGCCAGGTGAGGTCCCAGCCTCAAAGGTGGGAGGCTGATGGGCATCGTGAACCAAGACCAGCCTGGTCTATAGGTGAACTCAAGGCCAGCCTCGTCTGCAAAGTGAGTTCCAGAACAGCCAGGGCTATACAGAGAAACTGCCTCAAAAAGAATTGTTGATTGTACATTTAATTAAAAAAATAATAACATCATTTCCCCTCCCCCAGGCCCTTTCCAAACTCCTGGGGTTCCCTTCTTTCTCGACGCTGTGCTGTGACATTTGCATGTAAATGAATAAACACACAGCTGCAGCCTGCTGAGTGTTCACGTTTCCAGGGCTGACTGCCTGGGGTTGTTGCCTAACCCTCAATCAGGGGACCCTCCGGAAGGCTGGCTCCCCTCTGTGGCTCCACCCAGGGGTGGGGACCCCTGAGATTCCCCCATCAAGCTGCAGTTGGGACTGTTAGGGCAGAGGTGCCATGGAGCTTTGCATGTCTTCTGAGACAAGGGCTCCCGAGCCCAGGCTGACGTCACACGTGTGGCTGAGGGTGACCTTGAACTCTGGATCCTCCTGCCCACCTGAGGGAGCATCTCTCTATGCTGACATGTTCTCCACACACATGACAGAAGTCACTGAAAATACTGTTGCTGAAATACCAGCAGGCTGGGGAGCGGCCTGAGCAGCTGAGCTCACCCGCTGCTCTCCCTGGGACCTGAGCTTGGTTCCAGCAACCACATCCTGGCCCTGGGCTCTGCCCACGTGGTCTGCTGCCCCGTACAGCCCCCTGCAGGCAGCACGGCCACAAGAGCTCACAGAAGTATGAGGGTGCTAGCGCCTAACCTGGGGGGACCGGAGCCCCGCACTCAGGAGGAACCCCAAGTCTAAGGCCTATCCAAAGACATGACCTTTCTTTACTATTTCCTTACACTCGGTTACTTACTTTGTGTGGGGAGGACACGTGCCCTCCGTGGACAAAGGTGGAGGGCAGAGGACAGCACACAGCGGACAGTCTGCTGACTTCCTGCGTATGAACACAGGTCGTCAGGCTACACTTCTTCAAAGTGAACGGATCAGGAACAGAGTGAAAGCACGCGTGGTAATGTGTTTCCTTGGCGAGCACGAGGACCTGGTACCCATGCTTGAAAAAGAACGGCCAGCCTGGTCTACAGAGCGAGTTCTAGGACAACCAAGGCTGCACTGGGAAACCCTGCTTCAATAAGGTAAAAGACAGACAGAGAGACAGAGAGAGACACAGACAGAGACAGAGAGACAGAAAGAGAGACACAGAGAGACAGAGACAGAAAGAGAGAC